CAATTTGTACTTGATTTTTATGTTCAACCCCTTGAATTAAAGCTGAAAGCCTGCACTTCAAATTCATTTGGATTATTTCATTTTAATTTATTCTAGTGGCATACAGAGCCAAAAGTATGAAAATTCTGCCTGTGCCCAAATATATATGGGCCTAACTGTATATACCATAGTGTGCCGACCCTATAACTTTCACATAAACCAAATTAGAATACACTTTTTTGTAATTTTTTTTTTTTTTTTTTTTTTTACCAAAGACATGTAGCAGAATAGCCTTTGACCTAAATGTATGAGGAAATTTGATTTTATTAATTAGATATTGTTTTATAACAGAAAGTAGAAAATGTATTTTTTTTTTATTATAGAATACAAAATAAAAAACCCAGTTGAGATCAAAATACCACCAAAAAAGTTATTTTTGTGTGATATTTGTGTCAAAAAATGATATAAATTTAATTTGGGTACAATGTTGCATGATCAAGCAATTTCCTATTAAAAGGAGGGGGGGGGGGGGTTTATACACACAAAAAAAAAAAAAAAAATGCTGAAATGCTGCTCCCTGGCGATGAAACTCAAATTGATAGAACCGCATTCTAAATTAACTGAATTTTTGGGAGTGGGTTCAGGATAAAAAATGGAAAGATGCTAGCACAGACACTTAAGACTCATTGACCAAGTGCATAAACTGGTGACTCAAGGCATCCCAATATTACACACCACTGAAATAGTGGAGGAATTTCACTCATATTAGAATACATACACTTTATAATAAACAGGCCTCAGGAGTCACCCTGCAGCAAATCCCAGAGTAGGGCATTTATTGGGGGATAAATGAAGGACTAATTTTCATAAACTCGCCCTAGATATCCTACAGGAGCTGGAAGAATCTACTAGACCCCACAAACTAGGTGAAGCTGGATGGCTTTACCTCTTATTACAAAAATGTATCTGCTGTTCTTCTGGACCCTATGTGCAGATACTTCAATTCCATCAATGTCTCCTTATGTTTTTTGAGAGAAGCTTTACTGGCCCATCTATCTGTAATTCCTAAACCTTGGAAAGGACCACAACCTGTGTCACAATTTTAGGCTCATTTCGCTATCAAACATGGATACAAAGATAAAAATTAAAAACACCACAGCATACGTGCTTGTTGGATATATTATTTTACCTCGATTCTTGGTAAAGCAAAAAATATTTTCGGCCTACATAACATGTTTCACTTACTTATAATTTCCTTGTGATGGTGACCACCAGTCATTTATCCGGCCTGCCTGGCCAGCCGAAAAAAAAAAAAAAAAAAAAAAAAAAAAAAAGGACCATCAGGAAGTCCTGATTTCACCTGCTGCAGCCAGTGGAGCAACAGGAGAGGAGTATACCAGGCAAAGTGCATTGCGGGGTCCAGTGCGTTACAGTGTACAGCGCATTGCGGGGTCCAGTGCGTTACAGTGTACAGCGCATTGCGGGGTCCAGTGCGTTACAGTGTACAGCGCATTGCGGGGTCCAGTGCGTTACAGTGTACAGCGCACTGCGGGGTCCAGTGCGTTACAGTGTACAGCGCACTGCGGGGTCCAGTGCGTTACAGTGTACAGCGCACTGCGGGGTCCAGTGCGTTACAGTGTACAGCGCACTGCGGGGTCCAGTGCGTTACAGTGTACAGCGCACTGCGGGGTCCAGTGCGTTACAGTGTACAGCGCACTGCGGGGTCCAGTGCGTTACAGTGTACAGCGCACTGCGGGGTCCAGTGCGTTACAGTGTACAGCGCACTGCGGGGTCCAGTGCGTTACAGTGTACAGCGCACTGCGGGGTCCAGTGCGTTACAGTGTACAGCGCACTGCGGGGTCCAGTGCGTTACAGTGTACAGCGCACTGCGGTGTCCAGTGCGTTACAGTGCACAGCGCACTGCGGGGTCCAGTGCGTTACAGTGCACAGCGCACTGCGGTGTCCAGTGCGTTACAGAGTACAGCGCACTGCGGTGTCCAGTGCGTTACAGAGTACAGCGCACTGCGGTGTCCAGTGCGTTACAGAGTACAGCGCACTGCGGTGTCCAGTGCGTTACAGAGTACAGCGCACTGCGGTGTCCAGTGCGTTACAGAGTACAGCGCACTGCGGTGTCCAGTGCGTTACAGAGTACAGCGCACTGCGGTGTCCAGTGCGTTACAGAGTACAGCGCACTGCTGCGTCCAGTGCGTTACAGAGTACAGCGCAGTGCGTTACAGAGTACAGCGCACTGCGGTGCCAGTGCGTGTCCGCACTGTGCGTTTACAGAGTACAGCGCACTGCGGTGTCCAGTGCGTTACAGAGTACAGCGCACTGCGGTGTCCAGTGCGTTACAGAGTACAGCGCATTGCGGTGTCCAGTGCGTTACAGAGTACAGTGCATTATTGTACAATGCATTGCGATGTCCAGTGCATTACAGTGTCCAGTCCATTAGTGTACAGTGCATTTTAAATATTGTATTGTTTTTTCCGGGTTTTTTTTCACTACAAATAAGATGTGTGGTGTGTGCATATGGATTTCTTCATATTTTTTTGCTTGAGGTGATATTAGCCGTATGGCCTGAAGAAGGGGACATTCCCCGAAAGCTTGTCCTCAAAATTGTATGTTAGTGCAAATAAAAAAAAAGTATCACGGACAGTACTCAATTGTTCCTGTTTATATTTTTTTAAAATGATATTCCGGCCCCCAACAGTCTAAGGCTACGTTCACACTAGCTTTGTAAGCAGGCGTCAGATAGGCGTTTGGGAAGCGTTTTTAACGCTTCTCAAACGCCTCTGAAAATTCTGCACAATGCAGCACACAATGCTGTTCACACAGAAGCGTTAGAGTCAGGAGGAGTTGAAGCCTCCCATTCAAGTCTATGGTACCGCTCCGCAAACGCCTGGCAGTTGTGACGCGGTTCCGAGGCGCTTGTGGAGTGTTAATACTATTTAACTTCATTATAGGAGTTTGTAGTGCAGTTTTAACACTTGGCAAATGCCTATCAAACGCCTCAAAACCGCACATAGGGTGTTTTGGGAGCATTTGAGGAGCGCTAAAAACGCTTCACAAATGCCTGTCTAAGACCTGTCAAACACTATAGTGCATTTGGCAAGAGTTAGAGATATAGTCAAGTGTGAATGAGCCCTAAAGGTCTGTGAACTGGCGCCGTTTAAAAAGTTTGAGGATCCTTGAGCTAAACTATTCCATTGCAGCTCTGGCTATATGTTTAGGGTCATTGTCCTGCTGGAAGCTGTACATCTGCCCCAGTCTCAAGTCTTTTGCAGACTCTAACAGGTTTTCTTCTAAGATTGCCCTGTATTTGGCTCCATCCATCTTCCCATTAACTCTGAACAGCTTCCCTGTCCCTGCTGAAGAGAAGTATCCCCACAACATGATGCTGCCACCACCATCTTTCACGGTGGGGATGGTGTGCTCACGGTGATGTGCAGTGTCAGTTTTTTCGCCACACATAACGTTTTGCTTTTAGGCCAAAAAGCGTTGGTCTCATCTGACCAGCGCACCTTCTTCCACATGTTTGCTGTATCCCTCCACATGGCTTCTCGCAAACTGCAAACGGGACTTCTTATGGCTTTCTTCTTGCCACTCTTCCATAAAGGCCAGATTTGTGGAGTGCACGACTAATAGTTGTCCTGTGGACAGATTCTCCCACCTGAGCTGTGGATCTCTGCAACTCCTCCAGAGTTACCATGGGCCTCTTGGCTGCTTCTCTGATTAATGCTCTCCTTGCCCGGCCTGTCGGTTTAGGTGGATGGCCATGTCTTGGTTGGTTTGCAGTTCTGCCATACTCTTTCCATTTTCGGAAGGTGGATTGCACAGTGCTCTGTGAGATGTTCAAAGCTTGGGATATTTTTCTTATAACCTAACCCTGCTTTAAACTTCTCCACAACTTTATCCCTGACCTGTCTGGTGTGTTCCTTGGACTTCATGATGCTCTTTGTTCACAAATGTTCTCTGACAAACCCCTGAAGAAAATTTCAAGGGGTATGAATACTTTTTCAAGGCACTGTATGCATACCTATAAAATGTACCTTCGAGCATTTCACCTCAAATGATGTGTACTGAGATGCAGACTCACTCCCCTTTTTTTCTAAAATTTTGTTATGTGATATATTGTTACAGTTTCCCAATTATTGCTTACTCTCTCTTTATACCTCCTTTCACTCCTGCTCCCATGTGCCAATTAGACATACACCATCTCCTTCTCTTTCCCTTATTTTCCATCTGATCACAGCTTGAATGCTTGCTTTTTTTTACCTACCTGTTATTTATCAACCACCAAAGGGCAGATCTCACAGGACATATCAATAGACCACATATCAACTTTATAAACGCCTGAGCTCACAAGAAGGCCATATCTACTGTAACAGCACTTACAGATACATGACAAAATGACCTGTTTCTCCTGTGCAAAAACATAATACACCTGCAAGCTAGGTTTCATACAGATTTATCTGTAATGTCGATGCCTTAAATGTTTATATATATATATATATATATATATATATATATATATATATATATATATATATATATATATATATATATATATATATATATATATATAAACAAAAGCACAAATTATACAAAAAAAACCACCTTGTTAAAGCGAAGCTCCATGCAAAAGGGGAAGCTCTGCTTGTTTGCACCCTCCCCCCACTCCACTGCCACATTTTGACAGGTACTCGCTCCCACTTCTGGCTCAGTTCGCCTGAGGCAAAAGTTCAGCCCCCCTCCTTCCCCCTGCAGTCTTCTGAGACACTTTGCAGGTCCCAGATGACAGATGACTACGGGACACATCCCAAGGCGCAGTAGGAAACAGGCTGTGAAGCTGCAAGGCTCCACTTCTGGTTTCCCTTACTTGCAATGTTGCCACCTGGAGCCAGAGGCTAGTGAATAACTAGCCCTGGTGACAACAGCACTGGACCCCTGGAGCTGTGTTCTTATATTAAATGTCAGTAGCTACAAATACTGGGGGGAGCCTGGAATTTAAGTCACCATACCTCTCGGTCTCTGTCTGGCAGGAAACTGGTGTCCACATCTGGATTCTTCCCCAATTTCTTCTTTTTTTTTGGCAGCTCTACAACAAAGGATGGTTATTACAGAAACAAGTTCCCCCATTGGAGCATTTCCCCGCTATTCCTGTTCTGGTGGCAACTTTCAGTGACACTAAACTCTGGTTTAAACAGGAAAAAAAAAAAAAAAATCTATAAAATGATATATTCTTAAACTTAAAAAATTAACAAACAAAATAATCAGTGTCGTGCTTTAGCATAAAAATTACGATAAAAAAAACAACCAATCCCCCACCAAGGTGGAATAATTATGTGCCAATAACACACACGAGTGTAAAAGTCTACATAGGAGTCCACATAATCAGAAAATGCTGGGGCTTAGTGAACCGGAGACCAAATAGAAAAAGAGTCTGTCACCTTCCACTCAATTACTCAGCCTCTTACTGGAAGATTTGACAACCCAGAGGATTGATCAAATAACGCAGTTATCAGGCCCGACAGATGTACCATAGACTTCCAAATAAGGCTTCAAAATGATCCAAATGGTATAAAAAGCTATCTTCTAAAGAACAGGATCTTGGATGGCAAGTGACTCTCCACGCAGTAAACACCGCAGAAGGAAACAGTAACCACTCATAGTGTAGTAATTTAAAAGGTATTTCAATTTATTCACTTATGGACTGACAGACTCTTTCTATTCTTTATAAATGGTGAATACTTGTGAGCTATTATGAGATGAGGTGTTCAGTGGGTAATGTAAAGTGATGAAGTCACGTGACCCTGTGACGCAGCGCGTAGGGGAGGGGCTCTGACGTCACGACGTTGCATTGGAGAGGCTCGGTGATCGTAGTACAGACGGAGGCAGACAGCACTGCAGGGGCAGAGGCAGAGTATTTCTGTAGATTGTCATCTATGCGGACCTGGATTACAAAAGAGCTGTATACCATTGTGCAACACCTTAATTGGCAGCAATAAATCTCCTTTATGCACAAAGATAAGGCACCATGGTCTGTTTTCTTCCCTTTTTCAATTGACCAACACCCCCCGAACTGGTATAAGGAGGATTGGAGAAGGAGACAACCCCAGCAGGGGATCTGGGAGATCCTCAGAGAGCTGGTCAGGATATCCATCCATGAGCAGCTGGACAAGGGGATAAAGGAGAGAACAGGAGAACCCATTTAAATCTACATCTATCTTCTGGGACAACTAGTACAAGAGTATCATCCCATCCCATCTATCCTGGAAGGATAAAAAGCGTATTTGCCTGGATTTATTCAGGCAAATATAGAGGTGAGCACATAGGGAGACCATTAAGCACTCGGCGAGAGGAAACAAGGAATTCACCTGCACACTTTACTTTGAAAGACTTTATATATACTTATTTTATGCACGTGCACAATTTTATATATTTTTATATGTTTTTGCACAATGTGAATAGAGTGATCACAGTAGAACAGAGGTGCACTAATTTAGATTGTATGGATCTGTATTTAATTGTACCTCTCAAGTCACAATAACTTTAGGACTGATAGTCATTAGTCACCTGCATGAAGGCTTCTTTGAAATTCATAATAACTGTTTAAGTCACTAGGTATAGTGATTCATCAACAATTCATAATTGCTATCTATATTGTAGTTTATATATGTATTATTTTGGATTATCATCTAAAAGCACCTTCAGAAATAAGAGTTATGCACATTAATATATAGGAGCGCGGCACTATCTATCTATAATCTTTCTATTCTTTGGTCTCCGGTTTACTAAGATCAGCTTTTCCAGGGTATGTGGACTCCTATATAGACTTTTGCACTCATATGTGTGTTATTGGCACATAATTATTCCACCTTCGTGGGGGATTGGTTATTGCTATTTCTTTTATTGTCATTTTTATGCTAAAGTGCTTCACTGATTATTCTGCTTGCCTATTGATTGTGTCAGCTACTCTTTTTATTTGATTCTAAATTCCTAAGCAAAGGTTTTTGTTTAACTATTTTAACGTAAAAAAAAAAAAAAAAAAAAGGACCTTCTATTGCTCTCAGCCTCCTCCAAATTCCCTTTTTTTCTCCTGTGATCTGACTTCCTGATAGAGGATGGCTACATTCATTCTCCATGGCCCCACTGCATGTAGGAACCTAGACACCCTCTCTTGCTTGCTCCCAACAAGGACTAGGGGATTTGTAGTGTGCATAGTGACTGCAACTTAACGTGTACTGCTCCAGTTCTGGTTGCAGAACTCACAGAGGATGTTACAGGTAGGCAGAAAAACCAGTAAGAATAATTTCATAAAAAAAGAGATCACAAGACCATTAAATGGTTGATGTGTATGGATTATGTTTGGAAAAATAGGAATATTGTTCAGTGACACTAAGATTTTGGAGTTGCCCTCACTTTTTATTCCCAGTGACACTGGTGATCAGACAATTAGAGAGTGTGACTCTCCCCATAGGGAAATATTTCTAACCCCCCCCAAATCACTCCAACTGTATAAAAAAGGGAAAAAGAAAAGAAAAAGTTTTGCCTTTTTTTTAATACTTGAAGTCTACAATAAAAGGGCAACCAACTGACTTTTCAAAGCTTTAAGTGGGACCATGTTATATATGGTTGAGGTATACAATCCATGCATCTTCTGAATAGCGGTTTAATCTACCTATATGGACTTTAAAGGCTGTTTAGGAAATGGCCAGATTCAACTGATCCAGTAAACATCCAGCCTGAACAATGATCTGTACTGTATATGATCCTCATGTAGCAGCGCAGCAAAACCAGACCTCACCTTCCTGTTCTATTTCTTGTTCCTCTTCCTCGTCATCCTCTTCATCCTCATCATCACCAAGGGTAAAGGACAAGCTGGCGATCTTCCTCTTCTCCTCTTTCTTCCGCTCTTTCTCCCTCTGTTTCTCCAACTTCCTGTGTACATGGGACAGAAAAATCACACTCTGAAGCTGGGAGCCAGCACTATACACTCACTAGTAGATTCAAACTCTACTCACAGCTGCAGATCTTTAAACTGCTCCTTCTTAGCAAGCTGCTTCTCCCTTTCCTTCACAAGAGCCTCCTGCTTGGCCTTCATATCATTTAGAGTCACCAGACCTGGGAGGGAGTTACAAAGTATTTAAAGAACACTGCAGAGCAGAATTTTTATACTGACCATGTAATAAAACCCTTTTACAATTTTCAGAGCAACCCTGCTTTTTAAGCTATGCCTCAAACTGCCTGGCAGATGCGTACATCTTCAAATTTTAGCTGCTGTTAGTGGCTACTCCTCACCATACAACAGAGGATGTCTGAACCACTGAAAAAGAGAAAAATCTGTATATGAGAAAAAAGTAGCAAAAAGTAATAATTGCTTATATTTATCTATTACATTTATTTCATTACCACCAACAATGTATGCAGTACTTTATATACTATTAATTTACATCAATATTTATGGATCAATTATATCCAGTTAATTAAACAATAGAGCACTACAGGGCACCTGTCACATACAACCAGGGAAAGTGACCTATGGCTTGTAGCAATAAGCAGCCCCTCAGTTCAATAGGAACTAGTGGCATCACAAGGAATGAGACCTGAGGCACACACCAATGGGTTGTGGCTCTAGAAATACGAGCTCAGCTGACAGAATGGCTATCTCAGCGACACAACACTTTAGTAAGGCTGCTTTTACACCAATCCACTTTTGGTGCATTCTTCAGGTAAAAAAAGCAGAAAAAAAGTGCATCCTTTTAAATCCTATGGTGCTCTTCACACTGATCTGTTCCATTCCTCTGCATGTTTGTTCAGTAAAAAAAAAGAAAAAAAAAAAAAAAAAGCACCAAAAATGCATCCCTCCATTGAAACGAATGGAAAACGCAATGCACCTGGGGGAAGTGCTTTGTCAAGTAGGGAAAAATGCAGCGCAAAAAAAAAAAAGTAAAAACCACAACAAAAACACATGTATTTTTTCAGCGGAGCAGTGCGAAAGCAGCCTAAGAGAAGCTCGAGGTCCAACAAAGGATATGACCATAATGATTTAAACTCACCCACAGTGCTGGATTTCAGCTCAGCCTCCACAGCATCATAATGTGCCGAGAATTTCTTGTTAATGTTTGCTTTAACCACATTCTCCTGTAACAGAAACCGAGAATTAAAATGAAGCCAATCCAGCTGTGATATGGCCAGCTCAGCAAAGTCACTCTACCTGCCATCTATACAAAGGCACTTTACCCCTAATATACGCATCTCTGTTGCAGGGTAGCACAGCACCCCATTATATACCAATCATTGTTACACTGCGCTATGCAACGAAATTATATACAGATCTCTGTCATATTGTATCACAGCTTGCCATTCTATGGAGATCTGTGTTACGTTATACCATAGCAGATGATATCTATTACACCGTAAGATACAGGGGTGTGGAAATTATTTTTAAAACTACTTATCCAAGAGACTAAATCAGGGTCCTGATCTATGTGTCCTTCATAACAATCTGCTTGTCCTGATTTAAAAAAAAAAAAAAAAGTGATTGAGGGTAAAACAAATATTAATACCCAAGCACAATTTTGCAACTTTGACATGTGTTCGTAAAACTGTACATATCAGTGCAACTACTTTGTGTATCCAGGTGGATTATACCTTGTTTTTTTTAGGACAAATTGGGGTTTCTTTTGGTGGTAAATGGTAATGGATAACTCAATTTTATTTTTTATTATCAAAGGAAAACTGGCCCAAAAATAATTTTTAGCGGTATATTTCTTGCTATTACTATAATTTACCACCAAAAAAAAACCAAAAACAACTCCTCAAAATAAATTGTCCTGCTCCTGATGATTGCAGCAATACCACATATGTGTTTGTACCCACAGTAGGGCCTAAAAACAATAGTGCGCATTTTGCATTTTTTTTTATCCTGCCTAAAACACATTAACACTGATAATTTAAAAAATGCTTTTTTTTTAATCTACCCAAAGTATACTGACCTATACCTAACCTTTGACCATTACCTTAACCCTAATACTAACCCTGGCAAACCTTGATTTTGTTAATTTTTGTTTATTTTTTTTCTTGCACACTTTTGTTTGTTTATATCTTCCTCTCCTGCAAGAAGAGAAAGACACAATATATCTTTCCCTTCATTCAGAAGATGAAGTAAACACAGGGGTGGGCTCACAGTGACTGATCCCTGTGATAGCCAACCAGAGGCTATCATAGCAATCAGGTGACCCAGAAGCAGGTCCACATTGTTACTACAAGACCCGGGGCTCCCGTGCTCCCAATACAACGAGAAATATATATGGCCCAACAGATAAAGACCCACTTCCGTAAGACCGCATATATGCTTTGCTGCTTGCCCGCAGCAGGACTAAATTTAACAAAAAATGGAAAAAGAAACCTCCTGCCTGGTGCCCAGAACTGCATGTCTCAGGCAATGGGCGATATAAATTGCACATCCCATCTGTACCATGACACCTAATTATGAACCAGTATCTATTACATTATCTAAAAATGGATGAAGCGCTCAGCAATGAGGGTACTAAACATGTTAATACTGAATAAATAGAATTGCAAAAATAGAACTTTTTCTAAAAGTGACTAGTGCTCAAATGAATAAAATCGTGTTCAAACCAAGCAAACTATCAGTCTGCCACCCAGTAACTAAAACTGGTGACAAGTGTACACACTATGTGTATAGAAAGTGACAGGTGCTTTATAAACTATATAAATAATTATATATACATACCATAAATAAATTAATATTCGTGAATTCATACACAGTGAACAATCACTGAACAAAGGGACAAGTGTTAGGGTAAACAATCAATTTATCAGTCCAAAATAAATAAACTTTAAACAGTGTGTTAGCACAAATTTTTGCACTTTATTTTGGACTGATAAATTGATTGTTTACCCTAACACTTGTCACTTTGTTCAGTGATTGTTCACTGTGTATGAATTCACGAATATTAATTTATTTATGGTATGTATATATAATTATTTATATAGTTTATAAAAGCACGTGCCACTTTCTATACACATAGTGTGTACACTTGTCACCAGTTTTAGCCACTGGGTGGCAGACTGATAGTTTGCTTGGTTTGAACACGATTTTATTCATTTGAGCACTAGTCACTTTTATAAAGTTATATTTTTGCAATTCTATTTATTCAGTATTAAAATGTTTAGTACCCTCATTGCTGAGCGCTTCATCCATTTTTAAATATAATTTTGTCTCGTGGTATAGGGTTTAGATGATAGCAGCTGGCTTTGTGTAGTTACTCTGTGGAGCGCAGGAGGACATCTTTTTACAGTATCTATTACATTGTTCCGTGACACCCCATTACATATGGGATCTCTTTTACACAGTTCTACAACACACCACTGTGCATGAATCTGTTACACTGTACTATGACACCCCACTGTCACAGTGTACCATGGCACCCCATTATATGCAGATATCTATTGCACTGAATCATGACACCCCATTTTATGTGAATCTCTAGTACACTGTGCCACAACACTTCACTATCCATGGATATCTATTACATTGTACTATGGCACGCTATTATATACAGAGCTCTGTTAGGTGTTATGGTACAGTCAAATAAAGATCCACATATAATGGGTTGCTATGGCTAAGTGTATTAGATACATGTGTATATGGGGTGTCATAGTATAATGTAATAGAGATCCATATGTAAAAGGGTGTCATGGTATAAGAATGTCCCCAGCACACCGTGGCTCTCCAGTGTGGATCCAAAGCTTTATTCAGCTATCACATTGTTACAGCAAGAGCAACATTTCACAGCCTCATCATCACATGCCTGATGAAGGGGTCCTGCCAAGCTCCAAAATGTTGCTCTTGCTGTAACAATGTGGTCGCTGAATAAAGCTTTGGGCCCACATTGGTGATCCATAATGTGCTGAATAAAGCTATGGGCCCACATTGGTGATTCCCTGCGTGCTGGTGACATTCTTCTCCTCTGACTGTTCTTGGTACCAGCCGATGGTCGCTGCAGTACCTTCTTACATATACAGCCATCTCTAACACAGGAACATGTGCACTGGGATTGTGCATTGTAGCTATGGTATAGTCTATTGTACTTTACCATGACACATCATTGTACATGGATCTGGTACACTGCATCACGACACCCCGTTACACATAGATCTCTGTTACACTATAGCATGACAGACCATTGTACACAGATAATGTTTACACTCTACCACCCCATTATTTGGGGATCTCTGCAGCACTATACCGTGACACACCATTGTGCATGGATATCTTTTACACTGTACCTGGGCACCTCATTATATACAGATCTCTTACACTGTACTATGACACTATATATACGCACACAGGTCACTGTTATATTGCACACTGATCTCTGTTACACTGTACCTTGATACCCTCTGATACAACCCTGGCCCCCAATTATATATACATAGAGTGCCACATTCCTTACACACTGCTGCGATAATATGCCATGACACATCTCAGTGCACAGCATTGTAGGGCCGGGTATGCTGCACACTGGAGTTGTGAACAGTTGGTGGTGTAAATCATGCAGCACTGTATAATGTTATTAGTAGCTCAGTGATCACCATCCTTTGGCTGCAGGATAAGGCGGTGTGTAATGAAAACAGTGGTATATAGAGTGCAGCAATCTATCCATGTGTGAAGTGGGGACACTCAGTAGAGCAGTGTCTGCAGGATGTTTGTAAGGACAGAACAGAGTATGGACAGTGCAGGATCATGTATTGTCATTGCTTCATCTGTGTAATACATCGATGAGGTATAATGCACAATCCTATACCTTAGCACTGTATGTCACTGATCACCTAGCAGATCCTATGCTTCATACTGCACCTGTGTAATGCAGTAATGCACAGTGCAGCACACGGGTCGCTTGGCATAGTGGAGAACCCTATACTGTAGTGCTGTAAAAAGTCATGTCACCAGAGAGAGGCGAATTACAGCTTACACCTAACTAGCCTTAAAACTGCCCCCTCCCCAATACCTTACCTGTTTAAGAAAAATGTATATACTTAGTTAATTTGGAGCTGCTCTGCTCTGGTCATGTGATCTTGGCTGCAGGGGAGAGCAGAGAAAACACTCCGAAAACAGCTGGTAAAGCCTGGAGCTGTGATGTCCCCTGTTCAATGCCCAAACCATTGCTGGCGCTGCTTCTTCTCCATTGCAACCGCCAATGGCTGACAGGAGACAGCCGGATCACAAGACCAGACCAGACTAAAAATAGGTAAGTATACAGATCTTTCTTACACAGGAGTTAGGAGGAGGTAGGGGACAGTTTTAAGACTAGATGTAAGCTGGAGTTCCACTTTAACCACTTCCTCACCGCGCTATAGCAGAATGACAGCTACAGCACGGTTATCCAGTTCTGGGAGGGCATCATATGACATCCTCCTAGAACGCGCCCCTAGCCGTGTGTGTGATCACTGTGTCCTTTAGACGCAGCTGATTACACGACATGGCAAAAGGCCAATCACAGCTGATCACTATGTAAATACACTTGCTAGTTATTGGCAGTACTTTTGGTACTGTCAGTAACCAGCAACTGTCAAAGGAGACATCTGCACTGATTATCAGTGCCCCGAGTATCAGTGCTGCCAATCTGTTCCCAAAAATGCCACCAGTGCCACCTATCAGTGCAGCCTCTTCAATGTACATTAACAAAGGAGAAAAGGTACCTGTTTGCAAAAATGTATAACAGAAACAAAGAAAATATTTTATTTTCACTCTGTTTTTTCGTTTATAGTGCAGAATAAAAACACCAGTGGTGACTAACTACTTGCCGACCGCAGATAGCCACATGACGGCTTCGCCCTGGTCGGCCAGTTCTGGCAGGGCGTCATATGACATCCACCCCTCCTGCACCCTCCCGCACCTGGCGATCTCCGTGACTGCGATGTCCTATGGACACAGCTGATCACGTGATGTAGTAAAAGGCCAGTCACAGCGACCTTTTACCACGTGATCAGCCATGTCCAATGACACAGCAGATCACCGGTAAATGCTGTCACAGAATGAGGAAAGTACTGCCGGTCACCGGCAATTGTCAGAGGACGGTTCGGCACCGATCATCAGGGCACTGTTGATCAGTGCTCAACAGTGCCACCCAGCAGTGCTGCCCAGCAATTCCTCCAGTCAGTGCCGCCTATCATTGTGCCCTATCATCATTGCTGCATATCCTCAGTGCCTCATCAGAGCTGCCTATCATTGGCGCCTATCAGTGCCCATCATTGCTGCATATCAGTGCCTCATCAGAGCTGCCTATCATTGCTGCCCTATCAGTGCCACCTCATCAGTGCATGCCTATCAGTGCCCATCATTGCTGCATATTGTGCATCATCAGTGCCAGATCAGCAGCGCTGCCTATCAGTGCCGCCTATCAGTGTTAACTCATCAGTTCCCATCAGTGCTGCCTATTAGTGCAGCCTCATCAACGCACATCAGTAAAGGATAAAAATTACCTGTTTGCAAATTTTTAAATAGAAACAAAGAAAAACTTTTTATTTCAAAACGTTTGCTCTTTTTTTGTGTACAGTGCAAAAAATAAAACCACCCAGCGGCGATTAAATACCAGTAAAAGAAAGCTCTATTTGTGTGAAAAAAATGATAAAAATGTCATATGGGTACAGTGTTGCATGACCGAGCAATTGTCATTCAAAGTGCGACAGCACTGAAAGCTGAAAATTGGCCTGGGCAGGAAGGGCATATCAGTGCCTGCTAGGCAAGTGGTTAAATACCACCAAAAGAAAGATCTATTTGTGTGAAAAAAATGATGTCCGCTGGGTACAGTGTTGCATGACTGTGCAATGGTCATCCAAAGTGCGACAAATTGGCCTGGCAGGAAGGGGGTAAATGTGTCCGGTAGGTAAGTGGTTGTGATGTGCAATGCAGCACACATGAGGTGTATGGTAGTATGTGGAACCATATACTGTGGTGCTGCATGGTGTCTGATGTCCTGTATATCAGTGATATGATGTACTGGGTGGCATTCTATACTGAGGTCACCCCAGCTATGTAATCCAGAGGTGTACAGTGCTGTGTGGAACCCTATACAGTGGCGCCGTATGCTAGGACGGGTCACCTCAGCGATCTTTTGCTTCATCTGTTCCAGCTGCTCCCTCTGCTTCTCTCTCTTCTTCATCAGCTGCATGGCTCTCCCGGCCTCGCTGGCCGCCCCCTTGTACTGCGCCATGTCTACCGGGAACGATGCACTCCACACACAGCCCGAACTCTCAGCTGGGACAACACAGCCTGGTCACGTGAACCCGCGAGCCTGTGCCCTCTCCGAATGCTGATTGGGCCCCCACAAACTTCCGGGAGCGAAGCCTTCTGGGAGCCGGAAGTCTGACGTTACTGGGAGATCTCTCTGTGTATACATATAGAACAGGAAGTGTCACTCATAGCAACCACATCTTTCTTGTTATTGCCCTCCAGAGGATTTACCCCCTTTCATGACCAGGCCATTGTTTGCAGTATGACGCTGTGTTACTTTAACAGACAATTGCGCAGTCATGCAACGCTGCACTCAAATGAAATTTACATCCTTTTTTTCCCACAAATAGAGCTTTCCTTTTGTGGTATTTGATCTCGTGCTTTTTTTATTATTTGCACTATAAACAAAAAAAATACTGCCAATTATGAAAAAAAAAATATTTTTGACTTTTTGCTATTAAACATCCAGTAAAAAAAAGTTAACAAACAAATTTTGTCTTAAATTTAGGCCAAAATGTATTCTGCAACATGTCTTTGCTATACAAAAAATCCCAATACGTGTAAATTAACCAATTCAATACCGGGCAATTTTACACCTTCCTGCCCAGGCCATTTTCAGGTTTCAGCACTCTCACACTTTGAATGATAATTGCGCGGTCATACAACATTGTACCCAAACTAAAATTTTATCATTTTCTTCATACAACTAGAGCTTTTTTTTGGTGGTATTTAATAATCGCTGGGGTTTTTATTTTTTGCTAAATTAACAAAAAAAGACCAAACATTTTGAAAAAACACCTTTTTCTTTGTTTCTGTTATAAAAGTTTACAAATAAATAATTGTTCTTCATAAATTTGTGCCAAGATGTATTCTACTACATGTCTTTGGTAAAAATAACCCAAATTAGGATGTATTATTTAGTTTGTAGGAAAGTTATAGAGTTCACAATCTATGGTATAGATCTGAAAATTGATCAATCCTGAAGTACTGACAGCCAATCTAATTTCTTGAGGTCCAAGAATGTCAGAACAGTACAGATTTTCCCCCAAATGACCCCTTTTTGTAAAGTAGACAGTCCGACGTACTTCATAAGAGGCATGGCGAGTTTTTTTAAGTATTTTTTTTGTCATAATTTTTCGGAAAATGAAAAAATTAAAAAAATTATTTTCACTATTTTTTTTTTACATACTGTCACCAGTGCAGTGCAGTACAGCGTCATCATATAACTGGCATGGCGGTGATCAGGGACACTGACTGGTGACAGTATGAAAAAAAAAAAAAATTGTTTTATTTATTTATTTTTTTTTTGATTATTTTTTATTTATTACATTTTTTTTTGTTAAGGATTCTTTTTCATATTTTACTATGACCAAAGTAGTACAATGTTACCATAGTAACATTGTACTACTTTGGGGAAGTGATCAGTATTTTTTTTTTTTCTTTTTACACAATTTGCTTATAGCAAAGAATTACTTTGCTATAAGCAAGCATTTACCTGAATGAAATCGATTCATTCAGGTTTTTTTTTTTTTTTTTGTGCTTAGCTGTGATTTGTCCACAGCTAATCACATGACATGTGCATGTGATTAGCTGTGACCATTCACAGCTAGACACTAGTATACAATGGATGGCATGAATGAAGCAATCCATTGCATACAACTGTCATGTGACCTGCTGTGATTGGTCACAGCAGGTCACATGGTACCGGCAACAGGGGAGGTACTCAGATCTGTCATCGGCCGCGTCCGAGGTATACGGCCGGTGACGGATCGCGCCGCTGCGCGGCTCTGCAACCGTGCGAACTGCGCATGTGCGGAAGGACGCCAAATGGCATACACCCCGGAAAGGTAATGCATTTTTGCGGCCGCCAAACGGCTATAGGCCGGGCGGCAAATGGTTAATTGGTTTACATAAAAGTTATAGCATTTACAAATGGCTATATAGATACTGGAATTTTTTTTTTTTAAGTTTACTAGTAATGGCGATCAGCAACTTACAACGGGACTGCGGCAGGCATTCTGACACTGGGGGGGGAACTGACTTGGTGTTACTGACATCCCCAGTGACACCAATACAGTGAATAGTGCTAATAAAAAGCATTGACACTTTACTAATGGCACTGGGCAGGAAGGGGTTAACTTGTGGGCGATCAAAGGGTTAACTGTGTGCTGTTTCACTGTAAGCACACTGCTATGCAGAGCCATACAAAGCAGTGTGCAGAAGCTGACAGGGGAGAGATCTGTATTGTTTACATCTTCGGAGATCTCCGGGTACCGGCGGGCAGTCACTGGCTGGGACCCAGTGATTGACAGCCGAGGCCGCAAATGGTGGTGCAGGTTCCTACCCGGAACTGCAAAATCACCTACATATATGTGATATTGGGCACCCGTGTCACCATGTAGCAGTATTTCTGCTATAGGGCGGCGCGGAAGCGGTTAAAATTGTGATGCTAATGGCTAGAAGACTATTGGAAGCACTGAGTATCCTTACTAAACCAGAGTGACCCCCGGTTCACACCTATGCGGCTGAATGGACTCCCGTGCCTGTGACACGCGGAAAGAAGTCCCTGCACTTCTTTGGAAAACGCAGCCCGCGCGGGAACTCGGTTCCCAGTACGGTTGCGTTTCCCAGTGCGGGCGGCGTGCCATTAGAACTAATGGCACCTGCCCGCGGGTCCGCAATTCTCTGTGCGGGTGGTGCGGCTGCATGGATTTTCGTGCGGATCCACAGCGGCACCACCCGCATAGATGTGAACCTAGGGTTATAGTAAGCCTCTGATGAGAGAAACATGAAGGCCACCACCAAAGCAGTAGTAAACTCTTGGGATAAAAGAAGAAATGTGGGCCCCTGGGCGGTTTCAGCCATGATAGTTTGCTCCGCATACTAGCACATTATGACTGAATTGCCTTAAAAGGAGGCCCTCCAATGATGTGCTGTCACTGCTGTCGGTACTTCTAGCTGTTTGAATGGGAGTCACGGCTGTGGCACATCACACTCAAAGTGTGCCGCCAATTCAGAGTGCACTTGCTGGTGACGTCACTGGCTACTTCAAGACTGAATATCTCCTAAACACAGCAGGGAGTATTTAATAAACATAGAAAGTGCAAAATCTGGTGCAACTCTGCATAGAAACCAATCAGCTTCCAGGTTTTATCGCCATAGGTTAATTGAACAAGCTGCAGTTAGAAAATAGGTTTTTCTTTCATTTAAAAAAAATGCTGTTATGGGAATCGGATCTCAAGGATGATCATCCGCTTGCCCATAGAGATACATTGATGTCCGTTTTTCATCCATCAATGGATGGATGAAAGATGGACAAACGGAATGCTTGTGTGAAAGGGGTCAAACTCACCTGTGTCAATAACAGGTGATGACAATATAGAAATCACTCTGGCAACCAGTTAAAATGGTAAAAACTTGACTCAACCTTTCTGTTGTGTGTCTCTCTGTACCATATGGAGAAGAGAAAGAGCAGCAAAGAATTGTCTGAAGATATAAGAACAAAAATTGTGGAAAAGCATGAACAATCTCAAAGTTACAAGTCTATCTCCAGAGATCTTAATGTTCCTGTGTCCACTGTGCACAGCATCGTCAAGAAGTTTACAGCCCATGGCACTGTAGCTAATCTCCCTGGACGTGAAAGAAAGCGAAAAATTAATGAAGGATTGCAACAAAGGATTGTTCGAATGGTGGCTAAAGAACCTCCATCAACTTCCAGACAAATTTAAGCTGACCTTCAGGTACAACTGTGTCAGCTCGCACTATACATGGCCATCGGAATTAAAGTGGATGCTATGGTAGGAGACCCAGGAGGACCGTACTGCTGACACAGAAACATAAAAAAAGCCAGATTGGAGTTTGCCAAAACTTACCTGAGGAAGACAAAATTCTTTTGGTAGGATGTGCTGTGTACAAACGAAACACAATTACAGCTTTTGGTAAAGCCCATCATTCTGCTGTTTTCAGAAAAAGCAATGAGGCCTTCAAAGAAAAGAATACAGTCCCTACAGTCAACCATGGTGGGGGTTCACTGATGTTTTTGGGTCGCTTCGATGCTTCAGCCACTGGATGTCTTGACTGTGTGCATGGCATTATAAAATCTGGAGGTTATCAAAGAATTCTGGAATGAAATGTAAGGCAGAGTGTCAGAACGTTGGGTCTCTGTCATGTAGGATATTGTAATTTTATAAATATATATATATATAGCTTTATTCCAAAATGGGTTAAATGAATTTTTTTCCTCAACATTCTACAAACAGAAACATTTCTGCAGCATTGAAGGTCCCAATGAGCACAGTGGCCTCCATCATCTTTAAATGGAAGAAGTTTGGAACCACCAGGAATGTTCCTAAAGTGGGCCGCCCAGCCAAAATGAGCAATCGAGGGAGAAGGGCCTTAGCCAGGGAGGTAATCAAGCACCAGATGGTCACTCTGAAAGAGTTCCAGCATTTCTCAGTGGAGAGAGGAGAACCTTCCAGAAGAACAACCATCTCTGCGGTACTCCACCAATCAGGCCTGTATGGTAGAGTGGCCAGACAGAAGCCACTCCTCAGTAAAATGCAAATTGTAGCCCACCTGGAATTTGCTAAAAGGCACCTGAGGGACTCTCAGACCATGAGAAACAAAACTCTCTGGTCTGATGAACAAACATTGAACTCTTTGGCCTGAATGCCAAACGTCATGTCTGGAGGAGACCAGGCACCGCTCACCACCTGGCCAATACCATCCCTACAGTGAAGCCTGGTGGTGGCAGCAACATGCTGTGGGGATGTTTTTCAGTGGCAGGAACTGGGAGACTAGTCAGGATCGAAGGAAAGATGAATACAGCAATGTACAGAGACATCCTTGATGAAAACCTGTTCCAGAGCGCTCCGGACCTTAGACTGGGGTGACAGTTCATCTTGCAACAGGACAACGACCCTAAGCACACAGCCCACATAACGAAGGAGTGGCTACGGGCCAACTCTGTGAATGTCCTGG